GGGTTTGAACCGCCAGCCTTCTGGTTAGCAGTCAAGTGCCTTAGGCACTATGCCACCAGAGCTCTTGATCTTTGGTATGCCATCAGATCATTGATAAATTGGTAGCAGTCAATTCTATTAAACGTATATAGATTGATGTTTATGATTCACTGGGGGTTTTTGTATTGCACCATCATAAGTAAACCCCGTGGATGATGTTTGCTCTTGAAGCTGGCCTTAGAAGATCCATGGAAGATGCAGGAAGTCCCCAGGTCACAAACATCTGACAACTCATACTTGCTCTTTGCAAAAGGTGCATGGGGCAGCCGCCTCTGACCTCCTCTAGCTTCACAAGGGGGAGAGAGAAAGGAGCAACACCAGCAGCCCAAAGCTGATTCCTACGAGGCCAGACGTGCTGCCACCTCCATACTTCGCACCAACCCTGATGCCAGCTGTCTCCCCCACGGCACTCCTTCTCTTCTGGGTTCGGTGATTCATTGTAGTGGCCACACAGAACTCACAGATAATACTCATGATCATGGGCTTTATTAGGGAAGTAACAGGCTACAGGTCAGGCTCAGGAACACACTCAGGATACAATTCTTTACTCAGGACAGCCTCCCCTCAGCCATGTCCAAAGCCATGCCTCTCTTTGTCCCCTGGCCTCCCAGGCTGGTCTCTGCCCTGCTCGGGCAAGTGTTACAAAGCTCTTTCTGCTCTGGTGATAGATGCACCCGGATGCACCCCACTCTCTGCCAGCAAGCCTCCTGCCCAGGGGCACTCAGCTTTCTCAGTCCGTGGGCTGGCAAGCCTGCTGCTCTGTCTTGTGCCAGTCTCTCTGCCCTCTGCCAGGGAGGTCCCCCACAGGAATCCTGGGTCCAAGGACGAGTTTCACTCTACCTCCAGCTCATCTCTCTTGATGGCAGTGAGATCCCCTTTTCTGCCTTTGGGATGGCTCATTTTAAGCCTAGTGAAATGTTGTTCGGTGCCGTGGGTCAGCTCCGACTCATAGCGACCCCGTGTCCAACAGAACGAAACACTGCCTGGTCCGGTACCAGCCCCACAATCCCTGCTGTACCTGAGCCCATCGTCGCAGCCACTGTGTCATTCCATCTGGTTGAGGGCCTTCCCCTTTTTCGCTGACCCTCCACTTTACCAAGCATGACATCCTTCTGCTGGGAAATGGTCCCTTCTGACAACATGGCCAAAGTGAGATGAAGTCTGGCCATTCTCACTTCCAAGGAGCATTCTGGCTACACTTCTTCCAGGACAGATCTGTTAGTTCTTCTGGCAGTCCATGGTACTTTCAATATTCTTTGCCAGTATTTCACAAAACTGAGCAATCGCCACATTAGGGTTCCATACACCTCATTGCCGTGGTCCCACCCCTTCAAAGTTACCATGTACCTTATTTACATCACTAACAAGCTATCCAGGCCCCTCTGTGGGCCACAGAGCACCACCCATTTGCATAGTTCTACCCGGTCATCTGGTGGGAGTGACAGAGACCACGGCTGGAAGAGCCATGCCAGTAATTCACTGCATTGCACTGTTTAATGTTATGTCTACTTGTCCTCACTTTGAAATAATTGAACCAACCCCTACTTGCCACACATTCTTCATCACAATTGCCTTTGCCTGTTGAACACGCACTTTTCCCCTGCAGTAAAGTAAGGCCAAGTAAGAAGTGTACACACCTGTTCTGACTCACATGCCGAGGCGGCTTAAAGACACCTTTAGGAACGGTCTTGTTCCTACCTGGGGACTGCCTGTAATCAAGTGGAAAGGCATGTGGGGAAGGAAACTGGGAAGCTGTAGCACTGTGCCGATGTGGTCAACTGTCCGAATGGCATCTTGTACTGGGACAGTCCCTCCATGACTTAGTTTGGCCAGGGCCAGACCCACATTTCCTGCTCATGGTATTGGAGTCCAGGGACCAGTTTTCCTTAACATTCACAGGTAACAGTCCTGAGGCTACCACTCCCCCCCACCGCCGCCACCATGTACCATGGGGTCAGACCGTGGGAATAAATGATTGATTGCAGTAGGCTTTTCTCCCTGTTTCCTTAGGATGGCTGCTTGGTTTCTGAAGAGATTAGCAGCACTACGAGCCCTAAAGACAGAAAGTAGCTGCATCACAGGACGTTTGGGGAAAGAGCTCGTGCAGAACACGGCACTGGGACCATCTGTCACCACGTCAGCCCCGAGGCTGCCCTGCCTAATTCACACACGAGCGTTCAGTGTGGCCGAAGACCCCCAGGATGCCAGAAAAAAGAAAAAAACGACTGAAACAGCTTTTACTAACACTGGGAGGAAAATCAGTGAGCGGATTATCCACGTGATTGACGAGAAGGGGCATGATTTGGGGGACATGCACCGAGCAGACGTGATTAAGCTCATGGAGCAGCGGGAGCTGAGGCTTGTTAAAAGGAGTGGCAGCACAGAGCATCCCCAGTACCAGCTCATGACAGGACTCCAGATTCACGAGGAGCGAATGAGGATCAGGGAGCGGGACAAGGCCACAGCTAAGACGGGTAGGTACACTGCAGTTCACTCCAGGGACAAGGCCACACCTGGACAGGTAGGTGTTTTGCTGTTCACTCCCTGAATTCCCGACGTTTACCCATTAGCTGTCTAAATTCTGGCATTTGCCAGGATTCCGTGACCATGGGAAAGTGAGAAACTGGAAATGGACACATCCACGGTCCCAGCCACCATTTCAGTGTCTTTTGAATTCCCTCATCTCACTCATTTCCATTCCTCTTTTTATGATTGTCCTTGATACACTACATCCACTGTCTCTTCCTTTCAGTCTGTGTAAAATGAGAGGAAAACAAGGCAAATGTGACCAAAATGATAGCGATACTTTCCCTTTATTTCCTAACCTCCTGGGGGGCAGAATAGCGGACCTCATATGTTGTCATTGAGTCAATCCTGACTCACAGCGCCCCTAGAGGACAGAGTGGAACTGCCCCACAGGGTCTCCAAGGCTGTCAATCTTTACAGAAGCAAAGCCCAAACCACACCCACTGCCGTGGAGTCCATTCTGACTCATAGCGCCCCTAGAGGACAGAGTGGAACTGCCCCACAGGGTTTCCAAGGCTGTCAATCTTCACAGAAGCACACTACCCCTTCATTCTCCCATGGAGC